CCCCTCCGCCCCACTCGGTCAGGAGTCACCATTCTCGGGGAGGGGGATGAGCGGCCTAAAAGCCCGCCCTTGCAGACCGGCCGCCCTGTCCCCCTCCCGGAGGCGCCTGGTGTGACTGCGTGTCACAGGGGGGGAGTCGCGCTCTGCTGCGCGGCCCCCCCGCCTATCCAGGCGCCCCCTATCTCCCCCCGGCCGGGCCCTCCGTTGAACAGGAGGACCCGGCGGTATTGGGGGGGGCGGCGCAGCCGCGGGTACCCCTGGGGAGGGAATGCCAGTTGTGACATCCCCCGCCCGCCCGCGGGTGCGCCGTCCCTCCGCCAAGCATTGACCACCCCGCCCCACAACGTCAACCATTATACCAGGATGACTCCCAGGGACGGAGTGGGGCTCGGTAGCGATCTCCAAACCCCCATCGCGTTCATGAAGGAACTGCAAAAACAGTTCTTGGGTTTCACGAGCGCGGTTGAGGTTCGCCTGGAGGAGATGGGTCGCCATTACGGGAGCGGTGCACTTGGACACGGTGCATTTGGACACAGCCAATCACAGCATTGTGTGATTAGAGACATTTGTAGGATCCCTTGGAACATCGACTTGTGATTGGACTGTGTCCAATTGCCCCGTGTCCAACTGATATACACCCCGCCATTACGGCTTCCCGTTACTCTTCTCCAGGCTCTCCCCTGTTCTCCTCGCGGGAGGGGGACCCGCATTTGTGTCCCCTTTTTCCCGCGAAGTATTCTTCCTTTTATTGATCTCGGTCTTCCGCGGGACCCTTTGCTCCTTAGCAGGGCCCGCCGGAGAGACCGGGGCTTCCGACTGATGAGCCCTCCCCTCCTGTGTCGGGAGGGGAGGCCCACCTACCTTCTCAGGGGAAGAGGGGGAATCAGTGGCGGTCTTTCGCCTCCTCCTTCCCCTTACTCCCTTTGCCCCGCTTGGCCATTTGGCAAGCAGGGCCTCCCACTCTGTGGCCACAGGACCGACCAACGTCACGTCACACCGGACATGTAGCTGGCGCATCGAACGTAGTGGTTCTGTGGCCCGCCTAACTTCAGTGGTAGCAAAGACCACTGCGGTCGGCACTACTCTTGCAGGCTCTGACGTGGCCCCATTCCATCCATCTAAAGAATTGGAGCGGGCGCCGCGCCAAAGTCTCCACACTGACAAAGGACCACCCCACACGTAGGCGTCCTCCGTCTACGATCTTCCTCGTGGCCGTAAGGTGACACTGTAGCCACAGCGTTCCCATACGGTCCGCTCCAGGGCGGATCTCCCCGGTCTTGATATCTTCGGATCCGCAACCCCCGACAGTGGCCACCGCGGAGATTATATCTCCCACGGCGACCGTCGATGTCGTGGATCCGGATATCGGCTCTCTTCACCGGACGCGCGATACGCACATCCTCTTTTTCGGCGAAGAGGGCCAACATTTTACTAGCCAGTGCATCCGCTTTGGCATGTCCCTCGGGACCGGAGATCTCAAGGACCAGGGCGCCCGTGGCGACTCTTTTGATCCTGATCTTCCCGATCCCTATTTCAATCTGGCTCCTCGCCCGCCGCATCATCTCGGCGTAGCCGCTAGGTGGGCAGCTCATCGTCAAAACGGCGGCGCGAGGAGCCTTGGGCAGGACACTATTCTTCCCGCTTTTGGCCTGGGAGTTTTTCCCTTTCTCGCCCTCCCGGCCCGCGGCTGTTGTTGCCACGGTCCCTGGGAGGCAGGTTGAGAGGCCTGTTTGCCCCCTCTCCATTTTTCTTCTTTTTCTCCCTCCTGCCAACCACCCGGGCCCGGTGGCGGGAGGGGCGGATTGGGGCCCCTCACGGACCGCGACGCGGTCCGGTCTAGGGAGAGGGAAACACTTTTCTCGCAAGAGCAGCAAGAATCGACTAGCTCCGTCGGAGGCCGCTGGTCACCAGTCCCGCTCTTCTTCTTCTTCTTCTTCTTTTTCTTCTACCCCGTCTCCCGCCCCTCATGCTCGGCTGTTCTACTACAGCTAGGATGGAAGGCTAGGAATATTTGGGCGTAGGGGGGGCACGGCCCGCGCCGCGCACTCCACCCTCCACCTCCGCCCTTACCTCTCCCTTCTCGGGGAACACCCTGCTGCTACGAGGACCACTCCGGACACTCCGGGAGGGACGTCCTCCATAGCCTCCAGGATACGGGGAACAAGGACCGCTACCAAGATCTCTAGTTCCTCGCCAATCAATTCCGACCATCGGGTGTCCTCGTTACAGGGTGGGGGATATTATCTCCCCTCGTCCCTGAGCGGACCGACTGCTTTTTAGCGGCCGATCTATTCTTGCGCACGAGCCGCTGCCACTGTAAAGGCATATCCCTTAGCCGCAGCCCGTAACGCCACAACGGCAACCCCCCTTTGCAGAGGGCGATCCTTACAGTTATTGTGAAACCCGACACCCGTAGG